GGACTGGACATCATCAGGCGATCTTTGACAAGATTAAACAACACTTGACAAAACCTCCGGTCTTAGCAGCCTCAAGGGAGAACACTCTATTTCTATTGTATTTAACTTCTACTGCCACATCCATAGGTTGTATGTTATCCCAAAATATTGATGGGGGACATGAGCAGGCAGTCCATTATTTAAATAGGTGTTTAACTCCCACTTAGACTAGATACTCAGCTGTGAAAATAGCGTGTTTGGCGCTATATTATGCTTGTACTAAGTTAAGGCATTACATAATAAACGCAGTTGTGTATGTGGTTTCTCATTCTGATTTAATTAAGTACATGCTTAATCGGCCAATCATGACAGGCCGTATAGGAAAATAGAGTTTGGCCTTAGCAGAATTTTCTTTACTATTTTTGTCTTAAAAGTTAGTAAAGGGCCAAGCATTAGCAGACTTCCTGGTTAATCATCCCTCAACTGGGCTCCCTAAAGATGAGCAAGATTATCGGTGTTCTCAGTAGATCTAGGACCCTGGGTGCTTAAGTTCAATGGATCTAGCACTAAATAAGGATTTAGGGCCAGTATAGTGATAACCTCTCCTACGGGGATAAAAACGATACTATCTCTTCAATTAAATTTTAAGTGTACTAATAACCAGGCAGAATACAAAGCATTGCTCACAGGGCTTGAGGTTCTTTAAGAAATAAAGGCCCATGATATGGTCATAGAAGGGGACTCTCAGTTAGTCATCAAACAGTTAACTGGCAAGTACAAGTGCATGAGCCTAGCTCTAGTGATGTATTATGTCGGGGCTTCCTAGAGTCTAGAGGAGTTTGAAACAATAACGTTGATTTACGTTCTTCAGGCTCAAAACTGGGAAGCCAATGAACTGGCTCAAATAGCGTCTGGGCTAAGATTGTCACCTGAACTCACCAAAAAAGTAATTGTGGTGGAACGAAAAGAACATCCCTCAGTCATTCAACGTAGTTTGACAGTACAGTGCAGTACAGTCTCACAAGGGTTAGCTTGGGATTGGAGAGATGATTTTAAGAGTTATCTTCAAGATCCCAGTCAATGTTACCCTTCCAGAATAAGGATACGTGCTCAACACTTTATTTTAATTGGAGATGAATTATACAAGAAAGGCCCTGATGAGTTATTACTTAATGTTTGGCCTTCACTAATTATATGGAGGTTTTAAGACAGGTACATGAGGGAGTCTGTAGAGGTCATCAGTTGGGGCCAAAGATGCAATGGCTAGTGCACAGGCATAGATACTATTGGCCATCTATAACAAAAGATTGCATTAAATATGCTAGGAGGTGCAAGAAGTGTCAAACTCACAGGCCAACATAACAAGTGCCAGTATCAAACATGCATCCAATTATCAAACCATGGCCTTTTTGAGGATGGGCCATGGATATAATAGGAAAAATCTATCCAGCCTCATCCAAGGGCCACTCATTCATCTTAGTGGCCACAGATTATTTCACTAAGTGGGTTGATGCTGTCCCTATGAAAAAAGTAGAATAGGATGATGTTATTAACTTTGTACGGGAACAAATCGTGCTTCATTTTAGGATTCCTTAAAAAATTACAACAAGCCAGGGGACAATGTTCATTAGAAGTGAATTCAAGGCCTTCATCGAGAAAAGTGGGATTAAGTTATTAGCATCCTTACCATATTACCCTTAGGCAAATAGACAGGCTGAAGCTTCCAACAAGATCATCCTCAAAATTCTAAAGAAAATAATTGAAGAGAATCCTTGAGAATGGCACAAATGATTTTTCGAGACACTATGGGCATACTAGACATCTAAAAGAGAGGCTACGACCACGAGCCTGTATGTGTTAACATATAGGCACAAGGCCGTTTTTCTTATGGAAATAGTAGTTCCCTCACTACGGGTTGTGAGTAGTCTAAGAAGACCATTTAGCAACTATATCGAAGCCATGATGAACGAGCTAATCTAGATAGATGAAATTCGCTTACAAGCACTCGATCATATGATCACCCAGAAAAAAGAAGTTTCAAGAATATATAATAAGAGGATAAGACAGAAACATTTTCAGACAGGCAAGATCGTATGGAAACTTGTGTTACCACCTAGTTCTAAAGACTGGGCACTTGGTAAGTTTTCACCTAATTATGAAGGATCATTCAAGGTAGACGAAGTACTTAAAGGGAACACATACATGTTAGCTAGCGTCAATGGAATTCCAGACAGACAATCTATAAATAGCAAATATTTGAAGAAATATTAGCCATAGTTGGAATAAGAAAGTGATAAAGGACCCAAGGCCTAGAATGGCCTCCAGGCATATAAAACTCACATAGTGAGAAAAAACGTTTGTTCTTTATTATCATGGTTGAATCGTGTTACAAGGAATAAAGAATAAACAAATAAAAAATGTGTTTATATTTATACATAAGTACACTATTTACAAAGGCTGCATATGAGCTCCCATGTTGACACAGTCGAGTCCAGATTCGCAGAAAAGGTCTGGTGATGTGTAAGGACCATTTCAAACTCAAGCATAGCTTGAAGCTTAGCATCCCAAATAGTTTACGCTTCATCCAACACCTTGGTAGCAACCTCCAGCTCAAGTTTTACTAGACCATCCTCAACTTCAAGCTTTGCCAATTCTTCTTCAGTTGCTGCGAGCTAGCGCCTCAAGTCTGCCACCTTAGCCCGTAATGCCTGAAGGTTATCAATGTGAAGGGCAATCTCCTAGACCCGTTCAGTAGCAGCAGTCATTCGGGTCTTGGCAGCCAAATATTCATCCCTCACTGCCCAGTTGTTCTTCAAATATTTGGATAGGAGGGGGACTTCTTTACGGTACTGGCTGATAATGCCATAACATGCCGGGACTTAAGCTCGCAGGAGCGCTAACTCAGACATGGAGGCTGCCTTCACTATAGCCTCGAGAGACTAGATCATTTCCTCAAAATTTTGTTCAGGAATGAGGAAGGGATCACAGCTGAGTTGGAACTAGATGACCCTCCAAACATCCAATATAACATCCATTTTAGGGATGCAATGGGGAGAGGGAGGAGGAGGAGGGGGGCAGCGAGCGGCGAGAGGGAGGAGGAGGGGGGGCGGCAAGCAGCAAAAGGAAAGAAGGGGAGGTCTGTGAGCAATGAGAGGGAGGAGGGGGAAGCAAATGAGAGATATTGAAGCAAAGCAAATGAAGAGTAGGAAGGAGGAAGGAGAGTAATGGAGGGGAATTTAAAAAATTTTCTACACCAGGTGTAGGGTCACCCAGTGTAGAAAGTCTACTTTCTACACTACTTTCTACACCGGGTGACGTCACCCAATGTAAAAAGCTGTGTTTTTACACCGAGTGACATCACCCGGTGTAAAAAGGGGTGTTTTTACACCGCCTTTATTTTTTATACCGTTTGCCTTCCAACTGATGTAAAAAATACCCTATAAATTTCATATTTTGTACTAGTGCCATTTGCCCCTCATAAAAAATAATAAATAGATAGATAGATGGAAACTCAAATACAAACCAACTGAAACAGCAAGCAAATTAATCCTCCATGGCTTCCTCGTGCCCATAAGTAGTCAATATTCAAATACTAATGAAAGAACAACTTATCAAAATTTAAATAACTTTTCAATATTTAAATAACAACATTTCAAAATTTGAACCACAACTTACTGCTGAAACTCCAAAATAGATAATAGCTTGTTACAATTCAAACTATAATTTCTTAATGTTTAAACAACAACTTGACAAAATATAAATTGCATAGATATTTTGGTCGCAATTTACTTTTTACGGCTTCTTCATTGAGTTCATTAATGGATTATCTTCACACCATCACTACTAAAATAATATAATCCTTTAATTGTTAGCATATTATTTACAATTACCATGACATGAAAATGGCTTTCTATGTCCATAATTTTTGTCAATACACTAAATAATTTACAGCACAACTAATTGAATGATGTCATTATTATAATTTAAAAAGGAAGGAAATAATCTCACAACACACCTATTTATACATTTTGTTTTTAATAATTTCCATTTTTGAAACTTATGCACAACTTTGAGAAACAAAACTTGACAATCCCATGTGACACGGAAATCTACATAAATTTACAGATTATTTTGTAGAGAAGTTAAAGTCATACATATGAGAATTCAAATGATGTAAAACAACTAAATTACATTAACGCCCTTGAATTTATCTCACCTTCCACATCATCGAACATCTAACAATAATAGATATTGTAACAATTGGAAAAAGTCTAAAGAAACAAAAAAGTACTTAACAATATACATATATCACTCAACCCTATGCTTAAGTTTATATGAAAAGTCTAATGAAAAAGCCATTGCATCCGTTTGAACATATTACACAGTTTCAATACATACATGCATACATGCTACACGAACATACATACATACATATGAAAATGAATATATAAAGTCAAATAACCATAGGTTAACCTTTGGTAAGTCATTGATTTTGGTGAGTAAAGATTAACAGGTGATAATGAAGATCCAATAAAGCGTTTGTCATTAGTCCCACATTGAGGATCCTCACAAGTGGAATAAGGTTTATGAGTGTGAGGATATCTCCCACCTAACTAATAGGCTAGTCTTTTAAAATGGAAACTTCTTTTGAATTTGTGCCCATATGACAGCATCTTTATTGTCTCCATCCTCAACTCCAACATAAACTTTATTAGGCTTCACAATCAGCAAACATTGTCACAAACATCAAAATATTCCAATTTATGCTCCTCTGTCCATTCATCAAGTTTAAATAATATTAGGTTTAGATGAGATGGAGAGCAAAACATGTTCACAAAAAATGACCATATAATGTTGAATAGATCTCATAACTACAAGAATTTATATCAAAAACGCGGATGACTAGCCAAGGGTAAAACTTATTTAATAAGTTATATCATCCTTGGGCCATTATAAATTAATTCACCCTTTAAATTATGTTTCATGACAAGTGACATGTAGTTCCACATTTACTCCTTTAAGATTGCTCCTGTTATAAGTTACACTAACATGTATCCCTATAAAAGCAAATAAACAATAAATTGATGATGTTAAAAGCAAAACCTGGGCTTGTAAAACACAAAAATAGTGTTCTTGTAGCAATTGCATGAGAAGAAGTGGCAAGTACTCCTTCTTAGTGCTCAAAATTAAATTCTTACCTAGTAAGAAAGGCATTAAAGGCAGGCGTAGAAGCTTGAACGACTTGCTTGATAATGTCCTTTCACATATTGTTTCATTTCTTCCAATGAAAGATGCTGTATGAACAAGTATATTGTCCAAAAGATGGGAACACATGTGGGCAACCATTCACAAGCTTAACTTTCTTCAAGGAGATTTAGAAACAATGGATTTCATGAATTTCTTTGAAAGAGAACTTTCTCTTAGAGGATCATCATCTAAAATCAAGTACACTCTCATAGGCCCCATGGATACTTCACTATCTATTCAAGTGATAATTTTTGCAGTTGCAAAGCATAATTTTGAAGTGTTTGAACTTAATCTTCATTATAATATTGAAGAAACTTTAACTTCGCATCTTTGCCTGTTTAATTCTACAATAATAACTCAATTATATATCAGAACGAAAGGCCAAAAACTTATACTTCCATTTCTAATTTGCTTATCAAGCCTAAGGCTATTGAATTTATGGGGTATCACCTTCACCAATCAGCATTCAACTCAAAATCCATTATACGAGTCTACTGTTCTTGATTGGATAATTGGCTTGTACCATTTGTTCTTCTGTCAACCCATTGCAGCTATAATTTGGTCTTCAACAAAAGGCAAGTTTATCAAATTTTATAAACTTATTTTGTTAAAGAATAATTAGAATAATATGACCACAAAACAATATCAAATGATCTTAATTTGTTGTATGTGTTTGCTGCATGGAGATGATTTATCTAATGAACTTACATGTATTTCAACCAGAATTCTTTGCATATAAGAATCAAGAAATGTTATAAAGGTTTAACCATGTGATTGAATATATATATATATATATATATGAATTTAGAATTGAAATACACATTAGTGTACCTTTGGTATATCATTGATTTGATAGGCATAGTATACACAGGCCATAATATTGAATGAAATTTTTATCCTCTTTCGCTTCTTCATCATCGTATCCTTTGCCAAACTTCATGGTTAATAATGAGAGAAAACAAATACCCACACAATCAATCGATTTCTCCTTAAACCAAGCTAACTAGAATTGAATAGAAAACAAAAAAAGAAACACAGACATTCATGAACAAACAAGGCAAAACCCTTCCTAACCAAATTAGAAAAACGCATCAAGTGTAAAACCAACAACTTCAAGAGAAACATATTCTTATTTTGTTTGCACAAATTGTTGAAATTAATTTTCTCCACCATTTTGCAGAAGTTTTTCATTTTTTGACCCCCAAATGCTGGCTTCTAGATCTATCCTTGTAAGCAATTCAGAGACACCTAATTCCGAAAACCAATCACAACCCAAAATGACTTATTGCAAAGAAGCAAAAGGACATCACCAAAATTTCAATGAGGAAGCTTCCAACCATCCTCACCATAGACATCGAATCACAAGCTTGCAGAATCAAATCCACATGAACTCATCAACTACAAAGCATTTCATACTAGATCTAGATAAAATTGCAATATTTGATGATTTTAAGCGAAACATACCTCCATCACAACTCAAGAAATCCAGATCTGAGTGATTCATCTTTCGATTTCCAGTCCATCACCATGCACATACACATGGACCCAATAACACCCACGCCTTCCTCAAACCCACCCACGTGAAGAACGCTGGGGAGAGAGTAATCAAGATTCCCCGACCACAAACGCAAGCCAGCAACAAGCTCTATTACAAAAGGAGAGAAATTGTGGGGACTCTGCCCTCAACCACACATATAATTAATTTAATAATATATTTTTTCTAGAGAATCTTATCACGAACTTATAGGTAAACTGCTACAAGAGACACTACAAAAAAAAAACAACTGATTAGTGACGAAAAATTCCATCACTAATCAGTGAAAATTCCGTCGCTAAACAGATTAGAGACAGAATTAGTGACAGAATATTTCTGTCAATAAAAACACTGTCACTAATTCATTAGCGATGAAATTTTCAATTGATGGAATTGCATTCCGTCGCTAATTTTGACGTAATAGTGACAGAAATTTTCTGTCATTAAATAAAGATAAAGTTATTCTAATTTTGTGACAAAATGCATTCCATCGCTAATCCGTCACTAATTTTCCAACAAGTTTATTTTGTCGCTAGTTCCATGGCAAATTTATTAGGTGGACCAAAATATCATTGCCACATCACCCAGTAGACCAATGCCACCTCACCACCATATCACTATCACGTCATTTGTCACTAACATGTCAGATATTATTACCTTCAATTATGCCTTGGTTAGGTTTTGAACTTGCAACCTCATACTCCCATTTGCCTTTGCGTCCACCTTGTTGCCAGTTGAGCTTAAAGGAATCTTCAATCTTAATTGATATATTAAATATATAATACTTAACCACACGCGCACATATATTAATAAGTATATTATTTTAATTATTATTAAATATAGTATTTAAATTTACTTATTTTTTAACATTATATTTATTTATTAATATGAAAAAATTAATTTCTATATAATAATTATTTCTATTATATTTTATTTAAAAAAATTATTTTTGATAATAAATTTAGTATTAAATTAAAAAATATTTTATTATCATTATATATTATATTATAATTTGTATCTATATAATATATAATATTTTAAATTTTTATTTTATAATTATTTTATTTTTTTAAATAAGAATAATTAACTACACAATTTAAATTATTATTAATAATATACAAATAATTTAAAATAATATATTATTTTAAATTATAATTTTTAAATTATTTATTTATAGCATAGTAATAAATTATATATAAATATATATATTATAAGCAATTAAATTAAATTAAAAATAATTCATGACAGAATTAGTGATGAAATTATGACAAAAGCTTTGTAACAATTTTCTGTCACAAATTCTATCACTAAATCGGAATACGATATCCTAACCATTAGTGATGGAATTTTTCATCGATAAATTCTATCAGTAAATTATTTCTGACAAATTAGCGATAGAATAATGATAAAATTTTAGTGACAGAACATTCCGTCGTTAAATTTTATTGCTAAATTAGTGACAGAATTAGCTATGGATAAGCAATGGATTAACAATGAAAATTTATTCCATCACTTAATTCCGCCGCCAATCCACTATTTTTTTGTAGTGAGATGTGTGCCCGTGTACCTATAATTATGTGCGTTTGTGTTTGTGTGTGGGGCTAAGAGAAAGAGAATAAGTTTAGATTTAGGACTTTTGATAATGATTATTTATTATAAAGTAGCGAAGAGTTTAAATTTTCAAATATACATTTTATATAATCAGATACATTGTATATTTGAAAATAAATCAATTTCACTACCTCAAAAGAGGCACGCCTAATGCTAAATTGATCTTCTCATACAAAGATACATGAATACAGACCTAACCTGGTATCTAATTGCTCCTTTCCTTATGTTGAGTTTCTGCCAATACAAGTATAAAAGGAATTAAGAGTAGTTATGGAATGACATATAATGAAGAAGATTTTTTCAGAAAAATCTTAAGCAAAAGTTATGTGAAAAAAAAATGGCTTAAGAAAGGTAAAAAGAAAATAAATCTTGCAGAATTGTATTATTTACAAGATCTTCCATTTTTTTAAATGTATATAGACAAGAACAATAATTTTCATTTCTATTTCTCACTTATTATGTTGACTCACTCCATTCCTTTACTTATAAAATATTCAATATACAAACTTAATAAAAATAACATTTATATACATTGGAAAAACAAAACTCTAACTAAAAATTATTTGTGTAAGCCAAATGCAGAGATGAGTCCTCCTTGATTTTGGTATATGCACATAATTATGTTAGTATAAATACAATGATGTAATCCACAAGACATTTTTTATGGCCTTAATTGAGCTCATTACTGGATTATCTTCACTTCTTTATCGTTAAAAGAATGTAATCCTTCAATTGTTAGCATATTATTCTCGATAACTTGCATGAAAATGCCTTTCTAGGCCGATCATTTATGTCAATCTACTAAACAATCAAAGCAACCAATCGGATGGTTTCATTATTATAATTTAAAAAGGAAAGGAAATAATCTCACAACGCACTTCTTTGTACTTCTTGTTTTAAATGATACTCTGTTTTCGAAACCCATGCCAAACTTTGAGAAACAAAACTTGACAATCCCACGCGAGATGGAAATACACATAAATTTGCACATGATTATTTTGTAGCGAACTCAAAGTACATATGAGAATTCAAATGTAAAAGAACTTCAATTACGTTAATACTCTTGAATTCTTCTCCACCTTCCACCTCATAGAACATCTGATAATAATAAACATTTTAGCCATTACAGCAAGTCCAATTAAAGAGATAAAAAGTACTTGACAACATACCTACATTATTCCACTCTATGCTTGAATTTATATGTAAAGCCCAATGAAAAAATTATAGTTTGAAGAATCACACACACATATGAAAATGGAAAATATGATGTCTTATAACTATTGATATAGATTTCGTCTGTCTTTGATTTTGGTGAGCAAAGATTCAATAAAGCAACTAGAGTATCTCCATCCTAATCACCAACATAAACTTTATTAGGCTTCACGATCTCAACATTCATAAGTTAATTCAGCAATCAAACCTAAGCTTCTATAACACAAAATACTGTTCCCGTGACAATTGCATGAGATACAGCTACAAGTATTCCTACTGAGCGCTCTACATTTTCACCTGTAGAATAAAGCATGTAAGGCACACAAATCACAATCACTAGACAAAGAAAACAAAGCAAGCAAAAAAAATCTACTACGTTATTATCGCTATAAGATAGAAAAAGGAAAGGAACTTGATAATTTGTCTTTGGAATACAAATTAATGCACTACCTGCAATCAATTTTTTTTTTTTTTTTGAATTAACAAAAAAACCCCATAGATTTGCGAGTTTGTAGTAGACCATAAATATAGTGTCAGTCATGACTGCATGACTAGCTGTCGCAAACACCCTAGACACATGGTCTAGCTTGAAATCACAGATGAAGGAATAGGACTTTGTTTCCTAGTCAGAACTCCATGTGTCCTAGTAACAGAGGTGGTTAATGTTTTCTGGTTGGTTCATTAGGAACCCATGGATCAGTCTCAATAAACCTATAAAACACAGATTTTAGTGATAAGGACATAGTTGAAAAGTATAAGCAACTAAAAAGTCTAAATGTTAGATGTATGATAGTCCCACATCAAGCAATTAGAGAAGTAATCACAACTATATAAGTGTGGGGTGAGTCCTTCCATAGCAGCTTAAGCTATTAAATGTCACATTGAGTCCCAAATGTACATTTCAGGGAGTGAAATCCCATCGTAGTTACATAATCAAAACATTGAATTCTTGGATAAGTTATATTTAATGGCTGTATTCTGTTCAATCACATCAATCTTCTATGGACAAAAAGAATATTGTAATCAAATTCTCCATTTCTTTTTTTTTTTTTTTTACTCTTTCTTTACAAGATTGGATATTACCAAATTAAAGGAGAAATAAAAGTGGGTAGCAGAGCAACAAGGCTTCCTTTATAGAGAATTTTTGCACAAACTTGCTGGATACTGTGGAAGAATATCAACATAACAAGTTTTTTGAGTGTAGGTGTGTGTGTGAGGATTTATAATTGAACTACACATTAATGTACCTTTGGTATATCGTTGATAGGATAGGTATAGTAAACAATGGCCATAATGTTGAATGAAATTTTTATCCTCTTTCGCTTCACCATTGTATGCTTTGCCAGACTTCACGGTTAAAAATGAGAGAAACAAATACCCACACAGTCAATTGATTTCTTCTCAAATCAAGTCAGCCAAAATTGAAAAGAAAACAATAAGCAAACGCAAACATTCATGCACAAACAAGGGAAAAAACTTTCTAACCAAGTTAGAAAAACATCAAGTGAAAAACTAACTTTAAGAGAAAAATATTCTTATTTTGTTTGTAAAAATTGTTGAAATTAATTTTCCCCACCATTTTGCAGAAATTTTTCTTTTTTTGGCCCCCAATTGCTAGCTTCTAGATCCATCCTTGTAATCCATTTAAAGAAACCTAATGACGAAAACCAATTGCAACCCAAAATGACTTAACACAAGGAGAAACACCACCAAAATTTCAATGACGAAGCTTCGAAATCCCAACCATCCTTACAGTAGAGATCGAATCACAAGCTTGCATAATCAAATTAACACGATGAACTCACCAACCACAAAACATTTCTTAGCAGATCTAAATAAAATTCCAAGATTTGATGAGTTTAAGCGAAACATACCTCCATTGCAACTTAGGAAAGCCAGATCTGAGTGATGTGCCATCAAATTGCAAGTCGAAGGGATGATCCATCACCATCCACGCAGACATTGACCCAAAAACACATGCGCCAACCACAAACTCTCTCGCATGGACAACACAGGGGAGGGAGTAACCCAGATCCACCGACCATAAATGCAAGGCACGCAACAAGCTCTCTTAGAAAAGGAGAGAAATAAAAGGGACTCTACCCTCAGCCACACATACAATTGATTTAATACTATCTTTTTTTCTCGAGTCTTATCAAGAACTTTTAAATAAATTGTCATAAGAAATGTGTGCATGTACATGTACATGCAAGTTTGTTTGCGTGGGTGGGGGGGGATAATGATTATTAATTAAACAGTAGCAGCTAGTTTAAATTTTCAAATATACAATACATCTAATGACCCTTTCCTTATGTTGAGTGTTTTACCGACAGCAATGTATAAGAAATTATGAGTGGTTATGGAATAACATATAATGAAGAAGAGTTTTTAAAAAATAAAATAAAATATAACCAAAATTTCAAACAAATAAATGGCTTTGGAAAGGTAAATAAATTTAAATCTTCCACATTAGAATTGTTTTTTTATATTCTCTTTCTTTTTCTTTTTCTTTTTTTGAAATAATATAGACAAGAACATAATTTTTCAGTTCTATTTCTCTCCTATTATTGTTGTCTCACTCCATTCTTTTACATCTAAAGCATTCAATATAAAAGCTTAATAAAAATAATTAATTTCTATACATTGAAAAAACAAAACTCTAACTAAAAATTATTTGTGTATACCAAAATGCATCAACGAATCCTTGATTTTGGTAAATGTACATCATTATGTTAGTATGATACAATGTTATCCATGTGATAATTTTTTTTATTGGAGGACAATCTCAAAGTCTTTTGCACATATATGAATGAAAGCCAATTAGAAAACTCTAGCCTACTCTCTTTTTCCTCTCTAAAATTTTCCCTTTCTCGTATTATTTTTTGCTTATATTTCCATTTGTTTTATAATTTGTGTTATATAATTACTTTCTTCTCACTTTATTATTTTACCACTAAAATATCTTTTAATAAAGTTTTTCCTCTCTTAAATAGAGGGATCTTGTTGAAAGATTTACATATATTTTGGCCAACCTTTGAAACATATATTTTTTGTAACTAAATCTTCTTAATTATGTAATTCCATAACTACTCATAATACTTTGTCAACCACTAACACTCAATATATCAAAAGAAAAAAATTAGATGCATTGTATTGAAAATTAAATAAGTTTCGCTTCTATGATTAAAAAAATCTTCAAAAGAGGCATACCTAACCTTAAACTAATCTTCACATACAAAGGCAACACCTTTCTTCTAGAAGGCTATTCACAAATCATTGGTCATCAAATTCATTAAATAGGTTATTTTGAAAAGTATTATGCAGCTGATAAGTAGATATTTCACTTAAATAAATATATATTTTCTGCTCTTTTATTTTCTCATTAATTTGTAAATTGATAGAAATTGGAATATAATACCTCACTAGTGATTTTTAGGGCATTTCCAGGCTAAAGAAGCAAAAATATCATATAAAAAGCCAAAAAAATGCAAAGACTAGCTCAAAGCTCAAGAAATGGTACCAAAAAGAGTTGTGGGCCAACGGATAAGTAAAGAAGAAAATAACTAAGCACAAAGGGATCATCGTCAGGAAGCCCGTCCGAGCGTGGAAAATGCATGAGCAAACTTCCACCAAGTGTGAACGTAGTAAACTCAAGGTTCAACCACGCATGGAGGAGGTCGTGGAGATAAGCTCTTCATCATTCGACTGCACATGAGCATAGAGAAGAAGGATACAACTACATGGATGTGAATGTAAACAATATCTTATAAAATTAGATGAGATAAGACGGAAATTAGAAGCCAAAAAGGTGCAAAAAAGTTAAAATAAAACCCTGAAGACTTCTAGGAGAATTGAAGTTTAGATCTGAAACTAAGAAGGCAATTTTGGAACATGAACTAAGGGCTTAAAGACTTGATTGGAGATTGAAGAGTCATAGTGGAGCGACCTCAGGGGAATTTTTTGAATTCTCTTCTTCTCCTACTCTATTTCTTTAATTCTCTGTGTTCTTTTTGAATTAATTTCCATGCTTAGAGCTATAAGTGGCTAGTTTTCTTTTATCCTTAGGGATTCTATGAACCTTTAATGCTTTGTAGGTTGATTTCTATCTTGTTATCAATTTTGATGAACGTTAATGCTTAATAAGATTTGTTTTTATTCGCATGCTATTAGAGGCCTACTTTAGTATGTGTTTGGATCTTGGTTTTTGCTTTCGATAGAAGGAAATCTCAAATAGACCGAGTAGTAAGAAACTTAGGATTGGATTTAATCAAATTTCACTTGAAATAGAAATATACTCAAGAGCCCTAGGTAATATTTTAAGGCTTGTGCATAATTGGATTAGGACTTGCTTGAGACATCATAATATAATTAGATCACAATTTTTAAAATTGACAGATACATAATCTAATTTAGATTCTTAATTTTAAAGTTAAATTAAAATGCAAAGAAATTTAATTTAAAAGTTTAAAAGGGTATTACAATTCCTAAGGAGCTCATTAATTATTGATCTTAACTCAGATTTATTATTTGGCTTTAATTTAATTTTATTCATATTTTCAAATTTAATAAAATTTTCACTGTTGATTGGATAACTTAACTAAATAAAACAACTTTTGGTTTATGCCAACTCCTCTTGTTTAGTTCCTGATGAGACGACCTTGATTCACTATACTACGTTTGATCCGTATACTTGCAATGTGTTTTAAAATTTCGTGAGCATCAAGTTTCTAGCACCATTGCCAGGGAACTAAAATATATTGTTGATATTAGAACAAGAATGTTTAAGTAATTTTAGTTAGAGTTTTCCTGAATTGATTCTTGTTTTCTTCGCAGGATTATTACATGTGCCACGAAAAGCAAGAAAGTCACCTAGCAGAACTAGAAGTTTTAGATCTATTGGAAACTCCTTCACCTTAAGAGTGGACAAAGTTGCAGAAGTAACAATGCTAGAGGATGAGAATGATATGCTTAGAGTCATGATTTCTTGAATAGGTAGACACATGGGTACTACTCCAGTATTAACCCTAAATTTAAGCCAATAATTTGAAATCAAGCATACCATATTGAAGATGCTTGAACTCATGGGCAATTTATAGGCCTTGCTGATAAGGACCCCAACTGGCATTTGGTCCAATTCCTTAATGTATGCAAGCAACATGGTGGTACCTCTAAATGTATTCCATCATAGGCTTTTTCTTATTCTCTATAAGGAAAAGCCAAGAACTAGCTCAATAATCTTGAAGAGGGTAGTGTGTCAACATGGAAAGAATTAGAAGCAAAGTTCAAATCAAGGTTCTCTTCACATAAGATAGTTAATGCGAATCTAATATCAATGACTTCTCCCAACTATTTGGTGAACACTTATATGAAGATTGGAAAAGGTTCAAACAGTTGGTTCAACAAAGTCCAAGATATAAGCAAGAGAAGTGGGTCCTAGTCTAGATTTATAGCAGTAAAATTGACACTCGAGTCTAAATCTAAGACAAATGCGATGACTAATAAGGGCATCACAAAGTAATCGGTAAATTATTATAGAGTTGCTTAGATGATTTAGCCATGGATTATATTCAAAAAAAATAAAAATAAGATATCGATAAAGCAACTAGCAAGAATCACTTATGATTCTACCTCATAAATAGTTGTGATGCTTAATACTCTTAACAAGAAATTTGACCAGTTAAAAGCTCATGTTGATAGATGAGGTGGCATATACATGGAGTTTCACGCTGCAAACAACTCCCTACAGTTATTATGGAGATTCGCTTGCTTCTAGTTAATGTCTCAATTCTCCACGAATAGAGACAGTTAATTATGCTAGGAATTACTAGGTAATAATTTATCAACCCCTACTCAACACATAAAATGTTGGGTGACGTAACAATCATATCCTTTCTTGGAATATTATAATACTCTTAATCAAGAGTCATCTTTTGGTGTAACCTAACTCCCATCTTCTAGGTTTTCTCAAGTAGAATAGCAGTCTATTATTATTCAAAAGCCACGGGTTGATCTAGAAGATATGGTACATCAATTAAAAGTATGTCAAATACAAAGTAACAATGAACAATCTACTATTAATGCAAGAATGGATTCAAGTCTCAAGAATCTTGAAGTACAAATTGGGCAACTTACAACTGCTGTAAATGCATTAAGATAAATAGGGTTGCCAAGTGATACATTCAAAACCCCAAGACAAGGAGGCAAGGAGCACATTGAAGAATGCAAAGCAATCATGTTAAGGAGCAATGAAGAACCACTATAGCTCATTCAAGCTTCAAGTAAATGAGAAGAAGGTAGATGATAAAATAATGCCTATTGAAAGTAAAGGACACAAGTAAAGTCTAAAATATTCTCAAATTTATGATAAGGATGAAAAAGCAATGCACATAGGAGGTGTAAAGAGGAAGATAAAAAGTACATTAGAAAAAGGAGAGAAAAGTAGAAACCAAGCCTCAGCTTGCTCCCTCTCTACCCTTTCTCAAAGATGTACTAAAAAGAAAATTGATGAAGAGTATACCAAGTTTTTTGGAATCATTAAAGCAGCTACAAAAATATACCTTTTGTGGAGCTTCTTGAGAACATGCCCAGTTATGCAAAATTTATGAAGGAGGTGTTATTAAAGAAGAAAAGATTCCATGACTTTGAAACAATAGTGCTTACTGAGAAGTGCTCTTCTATGATACAACAAAAGATTCCAATAAACGCTCAGATTTGAGACAATTCATCATTCCTTATAACATTAGAGATATTTTGCTAGTCCTTTGTGACCTAAGAGCAAATGTAAATTTGATGCCACTTATCATATGCAAGCGACTAGGTCTTAGGATGTCATAACCCCTACTATCATTTTAAAATTGACAAACCAATCCTTACAAAACTCAATGGGTTGCTTGAAGATGTCCTAGTGAAGATAAACAAACTAATAATTCCAATGGACTTTTTGGAGGTTGATTTTGAAGAGGATAAGAAAACACCACTCATCTTTATCTATCCTGCTTTAAGCACAACAAGAACTATTGTTGATGTCTAC